AAAAGACCCGAGCCTCACGCCTGAATCCCTACAACTCCGAAAGTATCCGCTAGTCCGCCAATTTGAAAGCTCAAGACCTAACAAAACACACTTGCCCAACCTCGCCAAGAGAAAACCCTACCCAGAAGATAAAGCAAAACACAGATAGAACAAGTCAAACCAAACAACAAAACCCAAAACAACAAGCTCACAAAATGTTCCACATAACGACAATAAGGCCCATCAACCCACCCTAAACCCTGAACACTTCATAAAGACCACGCACACACACAGCAAGAGTGGGCAGGCTTTGCAGCCCGGACACTGCGCGGCCCAGGCTTTTAGGAGCCTGCGACATATCCGGGCCTGTGCATCGGGTTAGGAATCGCTGCTTCTCATTCCAGTGCTTATATAGAAGGGTTTTGGCGGTTTGCCTAAACTGACTTGATTTGAGGTTTAGGGCCAAAGTTTAGCATGTTGTTGGGTGTGTCTGTGTCTTTCTTGCGACCAATGCGATGTCGGGTCACATTCTAAACTCTAAACTAGACCCTTAACCCCAGAAATCAAGACCTGAGCCAAGGCCCGTATGAGCCCTAACAGCCCTAAACCCTAAACCCCCAAAACCCTGGAGCCATTAACACTAAGGCCCTTAAACCCCAAGCCCACTCCCTCAAGCGAAGAGGAACCCCGACCCTCATCCGAAAAAGCTTAGGGGCAGGGTTTAAGGGTTTCGAACTTGTAAGGCTCAAGGGTTCAGGGTTTTTCATTTAATATAGGCCCAAACTTTCCGGTCTAGGGCCTTATGCAGGGTTTGAGGGTTTTGATAGGGTCTAAGATCGACCGTTTTAGGGCTTCAAGCCTCTAAACCCAATCCTAAACCCAACCCGCCTTGAACCAGCACAAAAATGCTTGCAGTTTATTCCTTAGAGTGTTATTCTAGCAAACAGAATATAAATTGCACTAGAATATGTCCCGCTACCACCCTACCCTATTCTAGTAGCCAAACCCTAAGACCTAAACCTTTCTAGTACTTAAGGCCACCGTTTTAGTTCATGTGGGAGTTTCCGACTATATGGGGTACCTTATTTTGGGGTCCTTATAATAAGGAGCCTACTATTTAGGCCCTAAACCCTAAACCCCAAACCCTGAACCCTAAACTGGACTCCATGCCTGACTTCCGAATGGGCCGTCCCGGTGGGGCTTCAACCTCTCCGAGGTATTGGGTTCAGGGCTCTGGATGTACGGCTTAGGGTTTAGGGTTTA